TTCAAGATCCCACAAATAAAATTTCATTTTATGTGTCAATTGCAAAACATAAAATTTGTTCAAAGGCATTACATGAAATTCCACTATAAATGCACTCGAAAATTCCATAACCTACTTGCGAAATAATCCCATAGGCGGTTGTTGCTATTAGTTTGTATAAAAAAACATTTACATATTATTTACTAATTGATTCCAAGTTACTGACCCTTTATTCGGAAAAACAATATGCATACCTACATACATATACTATATGTAATATGTGCATGAAAAAATATACATATGTTTGTATGTAAATTGCACATTCGTATGCGTACTTCCCCAAATAATACCGCCGGTACACAGAGGAAAAATATGAATTATAAAAAAAAAGAAAAAACTGTTTCTAAGAAAAAACTGTTCGCAAAGGGTTAAAAGTTATTTCACACTGCAAAAAAATTTAAATTTTTTCACTTAAAAAATTCTATATGCTATTAAGATAAATTCAAAGAACTTCAGAAGTTACAAGGAAAAGTGGTGAGAGACGCCGAAACGTGGTAAGTTTTCCTCAAAACGACTTTTTTAAACAGGTTTACACCATATATCAAGATCTATTAGGGCAATTCTTTTAACGTTATGAATTGTATAAACAAAAAATTTTGTATGGAAATTTATGTCGTTTTCATCCAACCACTACCATTTATTAAATTATTTCCCTACGTAGCGTCATAGCTTTTACATTCATAAATAAGAAAATAATTATTTGGCAATTTTCAAACAATGCACAGTTGAGAAATATTGTACACCGTCTTCCGCAATTTCATCATTATTCCAATTATTTTAATTGTTTCTAACGATTTTCTTTAAATTTCTTCTAGAGCACATATCTACTATTTTAACTATTTTTGTTCTATTTTATTTGGTAGTAATTTTTCTTTGTGTACCTACCCAGTGTCGCACTATCGACAAATTGTGTATGTACGTGTATTCACTTGAAGCAATTAATTGGCGTTTGATCAGGTCCAATGAACACTATTATGATAATTTTAGCACGTTCGGTCTCGTTTTTCATTTAACAACTATGAGTGGACGTCTCGGCACTCAATCACGTTTTTTAAGTTCAAATTGAGTGTTTATTTATGTGCTGTGGATTTTTTATTTACATACATACTATTAGGGTATTCCATATTTTACCAAATGAAAATTTTTAAATGTCCACTTCATTTGCATTAGAAGATTAAAAACTGGTTAAATATAAATTAAAGCGGATAGCTGAAGCCATCTATATATGTATGCATACATAGGTATCAGATGAATTTTATAAAACAAGCTACATATGCATGTATGAATGTTTAAAGTTCTATTAAAATTGCATCTGAAACTACACCTATGATTACCCAAAACCAAGGCGAATTCACATAGTGTGTGTTACCGGCGAAAATTGATTTTTGCTGCCGTTGTACTGATTGTCAAAATGATGTGTTTGTTGTAAATTTGTTTTGTACTGATCAAGGCGCATTTATACAAGGTGGTATTGTAAAATCAGCTGATTTATTCGCTTCACATGTACATATTTTGTTTTTGCTTTTACTGATTTGACAGCACACCCACCAATAGCAAAAACAAGATACATGTAAAATTTGGGGCGAATTGAAATTTGACATAACACCACCTTGTATGAATTCGCCTTGGTACTGATTGTCGTCGTGCGCCGCCGCTACGCAGGCATACATAATAATAAAATAAAGATAAAGACCCGCAATATATTAGAATACATACATTTTTTTTTTGTAAATAAGGAGATATCTGGAGATGCGTAGGGAATTTCACGAAATTTCGGGCGAAATCGGGGAATTTCATTGTCGAAATCGGGGAATTCTCAAAAATGAGTTGGCCACCCTGAGGTCTTCACTAAAACACAATTACCGAAAAAAACAAGTAGAACGACTGAAAGCGTGGAGAAAAAAAACTATCACAACATTATTGTTTTCAGATTGACATATGTATGTATGTCAAAGGGAAAGCAGCGGAGGTAGCTTTAGGAAGAGTATATTTTACTGGACTTTTGCAACAATTGGTAAATCTGACTTTTGACCGGTTTTTCTGCATAAACACTACTTCTATGTGCGCCGTTTCTACAAGCACGCCGTATAATTTGTTTTCCTGCGTCAAAGCGCAGTTACCCATGGACGTAAAAACGGAGAACGTGTCGGCTGACACGTTTTTAAAATATTTTTTTTTTAATGACGAGATGGTTTATTTTGTGAGAGTCAACCACTTTGTGTAATTTGTTGTCGAAAACTTATGATGAGATATATTTAGGAAGGTGTTAAAAATCTGGTTTTGCAAACATTTAAATTTTATTGCGGACTCCGATAGAATACCTATCCAGTAATAATATTTGTACGGCAAGATTTTTCTTCAAGGCGACAAACCCCTAGAAATGGGCGTGTCGATTGTAGGACTACAGTTGGCAAAACGCAGATTTTATTGCGGATTTCGGCAGAATATCCCTTCGTTAACAGAATTAGTATAGAACCCATTTGAAGCGGATCGGAGACATGACATCATTTTTTTACGAAATCCGCCCGACTTAAAAAAGAGTGGCTCAATAGGAATCAGGGTGTCCAGATTGTTTAAATAAATAATATAAAAAAACTTTTTAATATACAACGCTTTTATAAATGGACTAAAAAGTAGAAAATAATATTTCTCAGTCCCATAGAATCTGTTTTGATAACTTTTGATTTTGAAATTTTAGCAAAAGTCATTATAAACAATCTATGAAATTGAAAATGAAAAACGTGGAGCGCATGCATTAAATCGATTTAACAAATTTTTATTTTATAAATTAGATCTTGTTATATAGTTTTTAAAACGAAAAACTAATATAATACCTTCAGAAGGTAAGAATAAATAACACAAATCACCTATATATGTAATAGGGATGTATAACCGATTTTCTTTAAAAATACGCATACTATTTAAAAATATTTTTTTTAAACACATTTTGCGATAGGACTGCGCAATTATTAAGTTTGTTATTCATATTAATTGATTAATCGCACAATCCGATTTTAAGAGCTCGGCGCTAAAAATAAAATAAAAACCTATAATAAGGCGAAATCAGCTATTTCCACAATTTCTTCAAAATCTTCTGTAAACTTATCGTGGAAAACTAAGTTTTGTATATTTTTATAATTGGAAAGAATTTATTTGAAGGAAAAAAATCGCCAATGGCGATTTCATAAATTTTTACGTGCAAATATCCAAAAAAAAAATCGCCGAATTGGCGCGGAATCGTCAAATCTGGACACTCTGATAGGAATATAAATTGTCTTCCGTTGAGAATCGAATCACGGGGCGCAGGCTTACTAGACGAATAAAAACGCAGCACGGTGTTATACACTCTTTTAGGGACTAGCCGCACTTATTTTTGAATTTATGCAGGGTTTTGGATCTGAGATATAAATTCATATATATAAGTACATGTGTACATACATACGTATTCATAAGCAAGTATGTATGTTACTCACTTAACTTTATGAGGGCAATCAATAATTCCACTTTCATAAATTCATACTCCAACCAAGGCAGACGCACTTTCATTAATTGATTCAATTACGCGGTATGTATTTCCTTACTTTGTAGATAAGAAGCAATTGTATTGAAGTCAATTGAAGAATTGAACAAGAAAATTGTTACGATACAAATAAGGAGCATTAAAAACAGCCGAGGCACCAATCTATAACACTTTAGAGGAGCCCTCAGTTAATGAGCTTTTTTTCAGCAAAAAGAAAAATTCTCACATTTAATGGATATGGTGACACAATGCAATCCTTAATTTATAATAGAAATTTGTGCCTCGATATCGATCCAATCCGTCCAAGATTAGCAATGGGTTCCATTGAATTTAATACATGCGAAGTAAAGGAACATCTTACCTTTCGCTACCTATTAGCCTCTTGAATAATGTAATTTCTAATCCTTAATTTGCAGGTTGCCATGGGTATCCCAATCTTCACGCAGTGAAAGATTGGTAGCTTTCCTGGCTGGGTTATAGGCTCTACAATTTCCGTCAATATCTCTATGTCCGGTACCCATATGAGTTTGAAGACGATGCTAATATAATTTAAGGCTGCCAGGCATTTCTATGCAAACTTTGATCTTCAAATTACCGCGCTCATTGATTTGATAGCCGCCTGGCTATCCGAGAATATATTAATCGTAGTACATAGATACCTTTTCTGCCTGATAGACGCTACAGTGACCCGGAATTCTGATGGATAATTTCAATTATAATTCTTTCGAAAAAACTCTGTAGCCAACCCTGTTGTCTAGCTTGGACCAATTGCCACTCTCTTATTTCTCGTCTTAAAGAGTCTATCGAAAATGGGTTCGGGGGCTGAGTAGTATATTTCTTGGTTACAACCACACATAGTGTGAAGTATCAAAACATGACCGAACCGCCGATCTTTCTATAGCGGCATATTTTTTAGTCTGAGCGCCGAAGTGGTGATTACGTCTTTCCTACCAGATTCACTGCAGGCCAATTGGCTAGCACTTTTTGCGCTTTATTTGGGGAGATCCCTAAGCCACACGAGATACATAAAAACGCTCTTCTTTGAACCTTACTCAGGAGTTTAAGGTAACTTCTCTTTTGAGTTGATGGCCACCATACAAGTATTATATACAGTGGCATAGGCCTAACTACGGAAGTATAAAGCCAATATGTAATACGGGGTATTAAACCCGATCTGCAATGTTGGGCATCTTAACTTTTCCATGTGACTTGACTAGACTTGACTTACATTTGACTAGACTTACATTTTTTCCCGACAGATTGAACAATCGTATATACGTATGTACGTACTTGTAAGCACTTTTGTCGGTCCACATCTACGGCCATTCTTGCCTTATAACGGTTATGTCGAATACGTTCTATTTTTTATGTAATTAGATTTTTATTTTCAGTATGTTTAGATCCAAAATATCAATTCATTTGTACTAATTTTAATTTATAGAATTCTGGTCTGAGAGACGAACTTGAAATGCGGACATCTCGCGCACATCATAGTATACTTAGATATACAACTTCCTGTATTTTTGTGATATTAGCATCAGGTGAGTTTTGAATTCATATAAAATTCTTCAGTTCCACAAGTAAGGCCCTTTCTACAGTATTTTTCCCAGCACAAACCACGGCAGTGGAATGGTCTGTGCGGAATGCGAATAATTCATGGCTAACCGTGTCTACACACGACCTCACTATATTAGTTCAGGAAAATAAAACTTTTGAAGTTCTATTAAAGTAAGTACTAAGGCGCGTGGTGTTTAGTTTGACATGCAATAATTCCGACGCAAAAAATACACAATTTCATCAATTTATTAGTGGTTCACCGGATCAAGATATCTCCGTGAGTTTGGTGAGACAGCATGAGGCTCTAGTTAAATTGTATCCAAATGACTTCACAATCAGCTCGGCGAATCCACAAAACCAGACAATCTACGTGCTTGGCGTGCAACCTGGAAATTTGGAAATCACGGCTAAAAGTGTACCAGACGACTTAGGGTTGTAAGTAAGCCTCATCGATTTCACCAATGAGTAAATTTACAGTAATTTATTTTTTATTTTTTCTTGAACAGTGTGGACGACTTGTTTGTTCGCGTTACTGTTGCCAATTCCGAGGCTATAATTTATATATCTGTAGTATTTGGATGGATTTATTTCGTAGCGTGGTCCATCTCATTCTATCCACAAATCTATATTAATTTCAAGCGCAAGTCTGTTGTTGGACTCAACTTTGACTTTTTGGCGCTTAACTTGGTCGGCTTTGTGTTGTACAGCATTTTCAATTGTGGCCTTTATTGGATACCTGAGATACAAGCAGAATATGCTAGCCGCCATCCACGTGGTCTAAATCCAGTATTATTGAATGATGTTGTATTTGCGCTACATGCAGTTTTTGCAACAATTTTGACAATCATTCAATGTCTCATTTATGAGGTGAGTAAAGGAATAGATACAAATAACTTTTTTTCGAAGTACACGTATAGGGACCTAAACCTCAATACTAGGCGCTGTCAATCAATATTAGTTGCGTACGCGTACCTGTTAATTATTGAAAGTTATCAAAAACTATCAGAAAAACGTGCAAAGTAGGGGAAATTGAGAGAGCAAAGTGACATTTCATTTTGAGGGGAAGCTGTTAGTTTCTGCTGGAAAAATGTTTGCCAACAGGAAACCAGCTGATCAAAAATAGCTGGTAGGAACTTACACAAATCCAAAAAGGAACAGTCCAGCGCCTTCGTCTTGGTCTGCAGGCTGTATCGGAGATACACCCGCTAAATTTAAACGTAGAATACGTGGTATGGTTAAGAGCATATCCAAGTCAAAAACGAAAGCACAAACTAAGAAAAAAATATCGATAACAAAAGCGATAATAAAATCGATAACAAAATCCATAAAAATATCGATAACAAAATCGTTAACTAAATCGATTACAAAATCGATAAAAAATCGATTACAAAATCTATCGAAAAATCGATTACAAAATCGATAACAAAATCGATTCCAAAGTCAATAACAAAATTGATAACAAAATCTATCAAAAAATCCATTACAAAATCGGTAATAAATTCGATAAAAAAATCGATAAAACTATCGATAACAAAAGCGATGGCAATATCGATAGCAAAATCGGTAAAAAAACCGATAAAAATACCGACAACAAAAGCGATAACAATATCTATAGAAAAATCGATAAAAATATTGATGACAAAAGCGACAAAAATATCGATAACAAAAGCGATAACAATATCGATAGCAAAATTGTTAAAACAATCAAGAAAAATATCGATAACAAAACCGATAAATAATCAATAATAAAATCAATAACAGAATCGATTACAAAATCGATAACAAAATCGATAAAAATATCGATCATTATATCGATAAGTTCCGAAAATATCGATAGCAAAATCAATAACAACATCGATACAAATTTCGATAACAAAATCGGTGAAAATATCGGTAACAAAACCGATAAAAATATCGATGGCAAAATCGATTAAAATATCGGCAACAAAATCTATAAAAATATCGATAACAAAATTGATAACAAAATCGATAAAAATATCGATAACAAAACCAAACAGATCCACATTAACTGAAACTTTCATATGTACGTATATATGCATTTACATATGTACATACGCTGCGATCAAAAGCCGCATTACATACGCATACATACTTTTTGTCTCCTTCCCACACTTCCAACATATGCACGTGTTTGCAAAATGATGACGAGGTGATTTTGTATGGAAAATCATTTATGCCCATATATTTGAATAAAATAAACATATATAGAAGATATCAACCAATACTTCCCATATACCAAACGAAAGGAAAACTCTTGAATTTTTGATTAAAGAAAACAAAAACAAAATCATTCGAGCGGTTTTCGAGCATTTTGGTAATGAAAAAAATTTGCAAATTTTTTCATCAATTTTTTGCCTTAAAATGCTCAATATTTGTTAAATTTATATAAAATTTGTACCCGATAATATTTCTACTGCTCCAAAGAACCTATATCCCGAAAATGAAAGTTATATATGCCAACAATAAGTTGCTAGAGCACTTTAAAGGCTCAAAATTTACCCCAAAATAAGGCAATGTTTACCGTTGTTTTTACGACAGAAACCGAATTTGGTTATTTACAAAAATGAATCTACCGACAGGTTTGGAATTTTATCTTTGAAACGCCACACTTTTCTTTGAAATCGTATTATTAGTTCTCGTGCAATAAGCGTTTTTGTGAAGCTCTAAAAATTACAACTACAACATTTGAACATAGCCCCCATACCTTAAGGTAAGACGTATTCTACGTCAAAACTGAATTTGATGATTTCGAAGTTAAAAATAATAAAATGCGGCTAATTAAACTTGCAAGAACTAAGTAGTTATTCGTTTAATCAATAAACTGTGTCAGGATAACACTTTGCTATTAGTTTTCGTACGTTTTAAATTTTACACTTTTGAATGTAAACAAAAATTCCATCAGCTGTTCGTCTAACTTGCAAGTTTCTACAAATTTTCTGTGCGCGCACTATTCTGAATATTTTTCTCTTATGAGAGAACAGATGGCATTTCGCCGGAAATTTGCGGTTGCATATTTTTTATTGGAGATTTTATACGAACGTACCTACTGTAACAGATTTTTAATTTGTTGATCTTCAAATGGTCACATTAGGGCCGTTCAGGATGTTGTGAAAATGGTTTTCGATTTGCAGTTGGAATTGCATTTGCAAATATTATGCTTGCTGCCATGGCAACCTTGTGCATTTTATTGTTGTGAATTTACAAATGCACGGCCTGAACAGCCCCATTGTCTGCTCGAAAGCATGAAAAGGAGCTAAGCAGATCATACTTCCCTGTAAAAAATGGGACTAATCCGGGATGACTCCGGGAGCAATCGCAAAGGAGCATGCGACTAATAACTACCACTTTTGATCTCTTTATATGGAATGAACTGTTCACTTTTGTTCGAGCATGTCCTATGAAGAGACTAATTGTTCACCTTTATACCCGAACGGGTATAAAAAGCGGCTAGTCACTTTTAAAAAATAAAAATAAAAATTTGCGCCAGCTGAGATTCGAACCGGGGTGCTCAGTTTTGTTAGGCGAATACTCTCCCTGCGTGCCAACGCCGCACATAAAATTTCATTGACTAAGTGCGTACATATCATTAAATCGTTAATAGTACCCGTTAGCGTTGAGTTGGGGACTAATTGATCTCCAATTATACCCATAAGAGACGAGTCGAGACTAATTGATCTCCATTAGTACCCGTATGAGACTAGTTGCGACTAATTAATGCCCTATTGTACCCGATTGAGGTAATCTCGGATACTCTCTTTAGAGATTAGTCGCACAATTTTTTGCAGGGTTGCTTATGCCCGCCAAATATATTCTCACTTTTCCATTTGAATTTTCCAATAAGCGAGCAAACCCTATGTGTATGCGGTTTCTAACACCTAGCGCCTAATTGCACACTACGTTCTCGATAAACTCACATGAAAAGGGCAACACAAATATGTGCACAGCTGCATGGGTGAAAAAGTTGGGTGCTTTCCAAAACGTCAAAATACAAAGCATACGTGTCTTTTATTTCTAAACCGCATTAGAAGAAAAAGTCTAACTTGCACAGCCTAGTATAAAATGAGCATCTAACCGCGGCTGCGCACTTTTGGAATTACAATCTACTGAAGTTTAGAAATAAAAGAGACCGATGCTTTGTGTTTTGACGTTTTGGATTGCAGCCATTGCACTTATATACGAAATTTTTTCCGTACATACATGTGTATGTATATGCACTTCTCACATGTATATCACATAACAAAACTCATTAAAGTAATAAGTTGAAGTCACTGAAATCATGCTGAGCCTAGCTTGAAGTATAACTCCACAAAACTCTTCCGGAGTTTATAAGCAGACTTTCCATCTATATACCTACATACCAATATGGAATTCCGACTGGAAATGAAACAGGACCAACCGAGTGAAGTACTGTTGTTGTTGGAGCGGCTAACGCTGCTAGAGTCGTCAATCAGCCCTCAATCGTTTTCGTCAGGCTTAAATAACGGTACGTCCAGAAAACGTTTTGCAAAGATGGGGTCAGACCAGAGGGAGAGCGATTTTAGTTAAATTGTTTTTGGTTACCATTGGGGTTTTGAAAAATTGAAATGTGCTTCTTTCACTTAATCCCTTGAGTTCCGCTGTTCTCACAACGGGAACTTTCTCAAATACGTGCTCCACAAAAAAAAATTGTTTTAATTTGTAATTATGTATTACATCATTATTACAGCGCGGCCAACAGCGGATCTCAAAAATCGCATCTGGTATCTTGGGTGTGTTCGCCATAATTGTATTGGTCATCGTAATTCTCGCCGCAGTTGA